GCTGCAGCAAATATTTTTATAGGGCACTTTAAAACACCTAGTGATGGGGGTTCTGACTGGTCATTGTGCAATTGATATTTATGCGGTGAGACTATGAATTTCAACTGATCGTTTTGTATCAGCTGTCAAGAGGAATATGAAGTGGAATAATCTCCACACTTTCTTTTAGACTGTCCAACCTTCGCGAGGCTAAGATGAATGCGTTTTGGCTCGCACTTCTGGACAAATATTGGGCTCCCAGAGATCGAAATTAGCCGCAATCGAAATTTCGTAATCGGCTCGCGGCGTCAACCTAACCCAACCTAAGCCGTACTTCTTTGAGCTATGAAACAGTTGGTCACATTACTCTTAACATACTTCGCCGAAGTTTTTCATAAGCATCTTTTTTCGTAAAATTTTTTACGCGCCTTTATTCGCGTGTAGTGACAATATCTTCTGTAACCATAGGCTAATTTCCTCCATTTGGCTCCTTTGTACACCGGCTTTTGTCCAACATAAGGCCTCATACTCAGCAATCGAAAGGACTCGGAACTGGTGATTAGGAAGCCATTCACTCGACCAATCCTATACATATAGTTTTTTTTTTTTATACCAAATCTAAGAAAAAATACACCCGAAAAAAGCATGTACTTATCTCCCAAAGCTGGCAAATGGAAATGAGGATTAAAGTTTTAAAACTAATTAATAAAATTAAAGTAAACTATTTATAAAGTTAGCAAAAATACTTTTTTTCGCAAAATCTTTAAAGGACTCTTTTATTTCTCAAAAAACCTTTGCGACAGTTATTATTTTACGCCCTGTACTTGGCCATTCATATTGTGGCAAACACTACTTAGTAAGTAAAGTTAAGTGTGATAGTGAAAAGGTGTAAGCATGGTCGTAGGCAGGTAGGTGCAGGGCGCTCGGGTATAAAAATCAGAAAAATTTTAAATAGCCTGGAATTCTTTTGTAGAATTTAGTTATTTATTTTTAACATTTATTGTTGCTTTGAAACAGATTTCTATGATATCCGTGTTTGTTTGTACCTAAATAATGGTAATTTGTAACAATAAATTGCACAAAAAAATTAAAACAAAAATTGTACTCCTTTTTTAAGTTCTGTACTGATTTTTTTCTATCGAAAATAGAAATGCACTCCTTTCTCACAGTGGGAAAATATGTATGTGTGTATATTTGTATATACCCATAGGATACTTTGTCAAGGCTTTCCTTTCATAAGGTATTAGAGAACAGCTGATAAGCAAGTGTATTGCCCATTTCAACATCACTACACACAGATTGCTTCCAGTATTCCTTCTCGAGAAGTGAGGAGGCAACGTGTTATGCAAATAAACTGGCATGAGTACACAACTTTGAAAATAAGTTTGCTTGAACGATTGTTACAAATTTGATTCAAAGAAACATTTGAGAACACATTTGCATCCCAGAAGCTATTTTGTGAAGGCCTTCCCTTCATAAGATATTACTGAACAGCTTCTAACCAAGTGAAATGGGATCTTGCGGCTGTAGCTGAGTGCGCAGAGATGTTTGCTATTTTTTAGCTTTAAGGAAGGCAAGGACTGGACAGCCCGTTAGATCAGACGTTCCCGAACTATTTTCACCGCGGCACCCTTGTTGTGCTACGCTTCAAATATCTACGAAAACAAGAAAAAACAATGGCAACTTTATACTCCTTTAGCTTTCTTTTGAGGACTGAAATTGTTTTGATGATTTCATTATTTCCTTTAAGTTTATTGGGAGCTTTGACAATTTTACCCTGAAATCATTTGACGCTGAAAGCTTGCTGGTGTATTTGTTTTTTACGTAAGCATTTATCCAAAATGCGGTGTCACCGTTGAAACACAATACCGGCAAACGACGCATTTTCGCCTAGTAGACGACACCAGCTTTCGCTCAGTAAAACACAACTACGGCGACAACAAATTCAGCTGCTTATGACAAGGTACAATTAAAATGTTTACAAACTAAAAGATTATTAATTCTGAACAAAAACTAATACAGTATTTTTCAATTTCGATTCTAAAACCAGAAAATATTTAGCATATGGCCACAATGGATCGTATTTTTTCGCTGCCGCCAGCGACGACAAAAAAAATCTTATATATGATTTCTCTAAGGTGTTTTTTTGTTAGTCTCCCTTTTTCTACTTCTCTATGTAAGCAATTCCACTAATGAGGTGTCATTTGAAAAGTCAGAGGTCCCCTTAGTGGTTATTAGGTAATATTAATGGCCATAACACCTCTGAAGTCACGAAATTTGTAATTTTATTTTTGTTTTTAATTGACCATAGTTAAGCCACACTAAAGGTATTTTGTACTGAAGCGCTATTGTGACTGCAGCATCGCATGCACCGTATACGACAGTGGTGGGCGCACACATCTTATATATTATTTCTCTAAGGTGTTTTTTTGTTAGTCTCCCTTTTCCTACTTTTCTATGTAAGCAATACCACTAATGAGGTGTAATTTGAAAAGTCAGAGGTCCCCTGAATTTTTAATTTTATTTTTGTTTTTAATTTACCATAGTTAAGCCACACTATTGTTACTGCAGCATCGCATACACGGTATACGACAGTGGTGGGCGCACACATCTTATATATTATTTCTCTAAGG